GTCTGAGAGCCCGGCGGCGTCCCGCCACTCCGGCGTTTCCCTTGGCAAGGACCCTAGTGTCAACGGTCGTTTTCTCCGGCCGGTCCTCCCTGCTAGTCCGCCGAGTGGCCTGTGGCCCCCAGAGTGGCTGGGGGCCGCCGAGGGTGACCCGGTCCCCTCCGCCTTTGGCAGGGGGCTGGGGCAGCGCGGGGCCTGTGGATAGCAGGCGTAGGTTTTGGTGCAGGGACCAGAGTTGTGCGTGGCCTGCAAAGTCAAGTTTACAGGTGCCCGGAATATTGTGCCAATAAGCTCCCGTGCTAGGTGAATACCAGCGGCGGGAGTTCAGCTTTAGGCCGGTTTCTTCCTTTTTTGGAGGCAGCATGCCGTGGGAAGCACGACTTGGGAAAAGATGGGAAGGGATCCTGTGCCAGTTTCACCGACCGTGACCGGGTTCTTTAGGGAGGCCTTTCCGGAACCCGGCACTTGGATTGGACTTCTACGACTGGCGCTTGAACCCGCGGCCTCCTGGCGGGGAAAGCCGCACCAGGGAGCCCGGCCAAGCCAGCCACGCTCACCGCAGATTAGAGAATGCAGCAGTGGAACAAATTTGTAGCTCTTAGGAAACAACGGGTGTGCGCCAGACGTTTCTATCAGACTTGCTCCTGGAGCCTGGACGCAAGAAAAATCGTTCAGGAGCCGGATGATGAGCTTTGGAGGGTGGAAGTATTCAGTAGGGATGCCCTTGCCAGAACTTTTAAGTTTATTTAGCCACTCTCTGAGGTTAAATTTATTTTTAAGAGTCGGAAGTTCTTGTCTTCTTAGCCTCTTAAGTTCCAAACCAGAGCGACGGGAGAGGGAGAGGAACGGTGAAGGGCAAGCTGAAGTCAAGTGCCCTTGCTCAGAAGCGACAGTTAATCCCGAGTGAAGTCTGGTGCGGGATTGCCCGCCTTTATTGTTCCCAAGGCCACACTCCTTCAGGTCACTTTGATCTGGTTTTCTGTAGTGTCTGCTAATGGCATGAGTTTGATATTCAGAAACACCCCTCTGACCACCTCTCATTGGTTTTGGAAAAATGGCATTTCCTTGTGCATTTTTTAACTTTTTTTTTCTTTTTTGGTCTTTCTTTTCCCTTCTGTGCTTTGTATTTTCTCCATTCCGTTTATGTAGCTGCTGGCATTTGACACCTTGAATGGAGCTAGTTGTGCTAGTTGTAAAGTGTATTCCATAAGTGACTGGTAATCTCCAGAAAACTTGCAGGTTCTTGGATTCTCCTGGTGTGAGATGCTCCTTAACAAGGCCCAACAGATCCAGGTTGCAATTGTATGAGAATCTTTTAGAGCTCTGAAAAATAAAGGCACCATTTTTTTCCTAGATTTATACGTTCGTAGTTACACGCATTAATTTATGTAATATCTAGCATGTATCATGTACTCATGTGGTGTTGCTTATTTAGTATTTAGAATTAACATGTATTTTTATAAGAATTATTTCATTCGGGAACCAGCAGTTAGCGTAATGGCTATGTCGCTGGACTCCCACGTAGTCGACTGCGGTTTGCGTCCCGGACCCGGTGGCTTAAAACTCACGCCGGGCGCGTGTGCATGTATGCCCAAGATCCCGAGAGGAGAATGGAGGAGAAGGGATTGCTGTGTGACCATCCCCCTTGGGGGGTGATTTCTCGCTTTCTGTCTCTCTGTCTCTCTCTGTCTGTCTGACGAGCGCACGTGCCCTATAGTGAAAGTCTCTCCAAAAAAAAAAAAAAGAATTATTTCATTTTATTTATTATTATTTTTTATATTCTGCTATAGGATACATGCCCTCATCAGAGAGAGAGAGAGAGATGGAGGGAGAGGGAAAATGAAAAAGCAAGTCACCAGGTTCAGGACTCAAACCATGGCTGGCCATGTGGGAACCCAGCACCTTAACCACCATGCCACCTCTGGCCTCTAGAATTAATATCAATAGATATTTTGAAGGATTGTGCTGAAAATCAGGGCATTAAGACCTAGTTCCTTGCTTGAAGAGCTTAATGTGTGTATTCTAAAACTTCATTGGGTGTGTTTTTTTGTTTATTTAAAGCAATGACAGTCTTTAAAATTCCTGATAAGATTTGTGAATTAAGGAAGTAAAATTATCGAGCATATAAAACAAATCACTCTTAATACAGAATGCTTCTAATACCTGACATTAGATAAGCCTTTATTTTATGCCAATGATAATACAACAATAAGTAGGAATCAGCAGTTAGCATAATGGCTGTGTCTCTGGACTCCCATGTAGTCAGCTGCAATTCGAGTCCCGGACCCGGTGGCTTACACTCACGCCCAGCCCGTGTGGTGTGCGTGCGTGCCCAGGATTTTGAGGAGAATGGAGAAGGGACTGTGGCGTGGCCATCCCCCCTGGGGGGTGATTTCTTGCTTTCTGTCTCCCTGTCTCTCTCTGTCTTTCTGGCAAGCGCACGTGCCCTATAGCAAAAACCTCTCCAAAAAAAATATATAAGTATTTCTAAAAAATAATTATGTATTATTATTATTATTTTTCAATTTTGACCAGAGAGGGGCAGACAGAGCGAGAGCAAACCACCATGTCTGGGACTCGAACTGTGGGAGTCTAGCTCCTTTAACTGATACATGCCGGGCCCCTCTTTTTTTTTTTTAAAGAGAGTTTTTTTTTTTTTTTTTTTGCGATAGGGCAGATGTGCTTGCTGGAGAGACAGAGACAGAAAGGGAGAAATCACCCTCATAGAGGGGATGACCATGCCACGATCCTTTTCTCCATTCGCCTCTTGGGATTTTGGGCACGCAGGCACACGCACCTGGTGTGAGTTTTAAGCCGCTGGGTCTGGGACTTGAACTGTGGTCAACTACATGGGAGTCCAGTGATGTAACCAGTTCGCCACACGCTGGTCTCAGTATAAACATTTCTGATCTACAGTGTAGTAGGTTAGGGTAGGTTAGAGAAGTAGGTTAGAGAAGTAGTAGTAGTAGGTTAGAGAAGTTTATCTGTTCTCTAGAGCGGTGTTGCCATAAGGCTGTATTGTTGAAAATAGTGACGTTTTTTGATTCTATACCAACTGGTGGAAAGGCTAGGAAAATGTGGTTTCTAAGAAAGCACACCTGAAAATGTCCAGAGAAAGCAAGATGTGAAGAAAGGGGTCGGAATAGACATTTCTTTTCTTTGCTAGGCAAGAGAGCATAACCCAACTTTTGTCAATTTTCATCAGTGACAGAAACCTTCTAAGATATGGAGGAAATCCTATTATTTTCATATTTTTTACCTGTTCTTTAAAAAAAATAAATAAGGGCCAGTGGTTAAGGCATAGTGGTTAAGGCACTGGACTCCTATATGGTTCACAGCAGTTCGAGTCCCAGACTGGTGGCTTGAAACTCAGGTTGAGTGCATGTGTGCACGTGCCCAAAATCCCTAGAGAAAAATAGAGGAGAAGGGACTGTGGCTTGGCCATCCCCCTGGGGTGTGATTTCTTGCTTTCTGTCTCTCTGGTGAGTGCATGCACCCTGTAGCAAAAATCTCTCTTTAATAATAATTTAGGAGTTTCTTAAAATTTCAGTTCTGGGGCTAACAGTGTAACGGTTATGTTGTTGGATTCCCATGTAGTCGACCACGGTTCGAGTTCCGGACCCGGTGGCTTAAACTCACGCCGGGCACGTGTGTGTGTGTGTGTGTGTGTGTGTGTGTATGCGTGTGCCCAAGATCCCAAGAAGAGAATGGAGGAGAAGATATTGCGGTGTGGCCATTCTCCCTGGGGAGTGATGTCTCGCTTCTGTCTCTCTGTCTCTCTGTCTTTCTGGTGAACACATGCCCTATAGCGAAAACCTCTGAAAAAAAATTTTTTTTCCAGCTCCTTTTCCTGTATATATTATCATTAGGGTGTTTGTAATTAATATTGTGGATTTACTGTTTCAAGGATCCAAAATTAAGCAGGACCAAAAATGTAGTCAGTTCTATAATTTATAATTTATCTTCCCTGATTTTCCAACAAAACTGAAGTACCTATGAATACAAGACACACTCATTTCCAAAGAGTGAAAATGGCCTAAAATTATTAATACAATCTCTTAGAGCATGTCTTACCTGTTGGCTAAGTGATCACCTTTATTCCTGAGACTTTGGTAATTAATAAGAATAGGGAAATAAAATGTTTTTGCTTTAGAAGTAAAATAGTTAACAAACTTGAAAAACTTGCAATATCCAATAGTTTGCCGAACCACCTACACTTTCTGAAATGTTATCCCGAAGCTAGCAAGCAAGTCTGTAAAACCCCATGAGACCCCACATAACAGGCCTCAGTTTGCCCTTTGTGTTTTTTCCTTACCATGTTGTAGTTCTATTTTCCTGCCTCTTTATTTGATTGTGTCTTGCTGCTGGAATCCCCATTAATGAGTTGCACTCGTAATTAGTATTTCTGTTAGCAGTTTTGGAGGTAAGTCACTGAGGCAGAAGGACCATAGTAGTTCACAACCTCAAAGGTATTATGGTCGTCCTGTCTGTGGCCTGGTGGCTAAGGTGGCTGCACCCACATGGCTGACTGTACAGCTGAGTTTGGGACCTGATGGCTTGTAAAATATTCTGGACGCGTATGCACGTATATGTGCCCAAATTCTGAAAGGAGTAGATAGACAAGGGATTGTGGTGTGACCATGCCCCATGGAAGCACTTTCTCCCTGTCACATTCTGGCAAGCACAAGTAAAAAC